TACAGCTGTATTTTATTGCTTGACATCAGGGTGCTTTCATACGGGAAAGACGGTATAAACTCATATGATTATGTCTGTGGCAGTATGAAAGTTATTTTGTGGTTAATAGCCACACATTTAGGGAAACCAATAAGGAACCCCTAAAGTAGCCTGTTGGGTTTGTTGTGGTGTGACAACAGCCTCTAGAGCTGGATTTATTCAGTGACACCTCTACCCCACCGCCTCCCTCAAGTTCAGCGTCCATGAAGTGGCTGTACTGACTTTCACTTACATTGCTGCGACTGGGATCTGTGATTAGGACATGGAGATTGCCGCCTGTGTTCTCCACCGAGAAATGCAGTGCTGTCTTTAACAGTAAGTGTTGTATGTAGTCCACACTAGTTCAAAACTAAAACCGTATCTTTACAAGGATACAAGGTTGCTCACATTAGCTTTCTGTAAGATATTGTGTTAAATTTGGTCTAATTCTGACAATTTATAATACATTACCAATAAAATTGGCTCCGATTTGGTTGCTATTTACCATTGGTTCTGTTCCTGTTACTCCTTACTGTAATTTTAAGGCATGACTGTGTTACTCTTGGCTGTCATCTCTCTGGACCAAAAAAGTTATGAAGTTCCGTTTGCATTAATAGAAATTCAAAATGTAGAATCCACTCAGAAATGAGTGGACAGTGGGATGTGTTATCTTCATTCACAGTCTGACTCTTAACAGTATAAATCAAACATGGAAAATGGCAGTAATTCTTAAACTTAGGTAAGAACCAGGCTTTCCACCAGAATGTCCTGATGTCCTTAGGTCTTAGGCAGGAGAAATACATTGATTATTCTTTTAGAGTTCTCAACTATGTAACTGTTGTTATCAAAAGTTCTCTCCATGTAGCAAAGCTGGTGTTTTAGCACTTCCGCCATGCTAGGAAGCTGCTGTCTCAATTTACATTTGATGTTCTGATTAGTTTTTTAAAAAGATCATTCAATAGAGAACCTCCTGTTCATGCTGTTTGTGGAGACAGCCAAATAAAAATTGATATATGAGAATTTTGTTGTTCTTGTTTTGTTGTTCTTTTGATCTGATCTGAAATAGTTTTCCATCAGGGCCCCTGATTCAGTGTAAGCAATCTCTGGTTTGTATTTACATGTATGACTGGTAAATACCCTACGGAATGTCTTCACTCTTTAATTTAAACAAAGTACCGCATGGAATTAGAAATATTTATTCAGAATATAAGAACGTTTGTAAAATATTATAAATGTCTCTGTATAAATAAATGGAGTTTTTTTTTAAACAATTCTATATCAAATAACACAAAGTAGCTATTTTACAGCAGCTAAAACTAAAGGCATTTGGAAACATTTAAAGCTACAAGTGAGCCTAAAAAATTACAAGGTATAGTACAGTGTGTTTAGTAGCCACTTCCAAGTGAAACTTCCGGTACAAGCAGAATAGGCCTGACAGATGCAGACAGTCACATGTGCTTTAACAGCAGTACGTTCAGGTGGTATAAAAACAACATTTTCAACTAATAAAAAAGTTAAATTTCATGCAAAGTAAGTTTATAATATGTCTAAAAGCAGATTAGAAATAGAAGTGAACACGTTTTGTAGTCTTTTGCATCAGGTCCTGACAAAGTTAGGCTCTCAGAGCTCTGAAGGGGGGTGTCCTGACCGGAGCACCGCAAAGGAACGCTACAGACTCGACAAACAACATTTTTCAAAAGGTGAGTGATAGAGCAGAAATGTTATCTAACCAGAGCGTCTGTGTGGGTGTGGAGTTCTCTACAGGACTTGTATGCTGTTGGAGAGCAGGCCTAGTCAGTAGTTTTCAGGTGAGAGATTGGGAAGATCAAATGCTAACTCTTGGGTGTCATTATCCAACCATGGTTCTTGATTCTGGGACCCGGGTGTTTTTTTTCTTTGTACACATGTGTGAAATATCAGATGATGTGTTATGTATACTGGATGCCCGTATATGAAAATGTCTTCCTCTGTAGGAGAGTGCTCAGGTACGGCAGAGTCAGAGCATCTCAGGTCAGATGGGCTGTTGGCAGCAGTGCAGAGGTGTTAGAAAATAAAGCTAAGAGAAGTAGGAGGCCACGGGTTCAGGGACTTCAACCTGACCTATGTATCAACACAGGTTCATTTGTGCACACATGTCAAAGGTAGGAATGTTTTTATAGCAAGCCATGCCTGCTCTACAGAGTTTGCAAGCTGTTCTATTGCTGAACACAAAATTAATTGCTGTTTTTTTTTTTAACCACAGTTAGATGTTGTTCTAGAAGCTGCAACGTAAAATAGAAAATACTTACTAACTTAAGCTTTTGTTCCCCACTCCCTCCCTAGGACCAAATCCTAATGAAGACGAGGGCTGAAATTCTGTCAGTGAGTTTATTCTCTGTTGGCCTCTAAAAAAAATAAGTGTAATTCAGTAGGTGACACTGTACTCTGACGGAACACTGGTATTGTTTGCTTTACTTGGGCACTGTGTTCGTATAATGACTGGGACATACTCTGAGTTAAACATTCATAATTGAAAGCATTTATGGGAGGAAATCTTTTGACAAATAGTGGTGTTTTTGTTACTATCTTAATGCTTTTCTCTGCCTTTCATTTAAAGCATGAAGTGATAACCCGGACTCCTGGCAACTCTGAAGTATTTCACAGAACTTAAATCATTGTGCAGAATTTGGGGATTGGGGGCGCAGTGCATGGGGGGATACAGATATACAGGAGCCTGGTGGTTCTCAGTTCTCAGGCATTCCAACCCTGCAGCAAACTAAGGTATTTTCCCCTGTTCAGGTCATGTCTGTAGGAATTAAAGACATCTACTAGTCTTGTTTTCCTTATGGTAGTAAGGTTACTTGACCCCTTAAATAGTTTTTGGGATAAATAAAAGCCTATGGCTATGCCTTAGACTGTACTTCTTTATAGAGCCACGCCAAAGCTCCATTTCAGAGTTTTCCAAAGCCCTTGCAAAGTACACACATTTGAAAGGAGGACTAAGCACCTTGGCTAGCAAAACCTTAAGTGTCAGGCTACACACACACACACACATATTAAGAAATGTGCTGCGTCAGCAGATGAGCATGGGTCACGTGACGCTCACTTAGACCTCAAGTTTGTATGCTACAGAGACAAGGATAAAATAGACCTCAACTGTCTTATCTCATGACAGTCTTAGCCGCGAGTCCACTGTGGACTCTCTTCCTGTCGCAGGGCAAGTGTGGCTGGTGCACATGGGGTCGTGGCTGCAGACCAGAGTCAGCCACGGACAGATGTCTCCTGGGACTGCTGCCCTACTTGGGAACTTTCAGGCGGTTCCTCGTGGACCTGTTTGCTCTGCTTATTTTCTTATGAGCCGAAAGTGACTACCTAAAGAGAGAAACACTAAAGACTTTGGTGGTGGCATTTCAAAAATAGAAAATTCTGAAGGCTTTAATCCTCATAGAAATTAAAATAAAGATAATTTTGTTCACCATAATAGACATGTTAATGGAAACCATTTCCTATTTAAAAGTAGGTTTGGAAGAGGCAGGTTAAACAAAGAGAAAAATTACTCAGGCACCTGCTATCGTGTATTTAATCAGTGCAACAATTCACACAATCAAATGCCTGCTGCGTCAGCCCTCAGAGATGGAAAATTACAAGGAAAAGATTGTATAGCCCCTATCACTTACTTAAAAATGTGGCATTTTAGCCTGGCACATGGTTTTTATAAGTCACCATAATTTATTCACTTAGAAACTCAGACTAAGGCCTGGTAGGATTGTTGCTTTGGGGTCTGTTTTTGTATGTAGGAACTATAGATCTAGAAGCATGGGTTCTCAGCAGGGTGACTGTCATCCCGGCTTCAGCTTCCCCTTCCAGTTAAGCATCCTGATTGTTTGGAACTAAAGGTTCTGTGGCACTCAAATAGGTAGGAACCATCTTGTACAACATTAAGGCTCTCCTCAGTGTCCAACAATGCAAAGCCTCTTGCCTTTAAGAGAGTCAGGTGCTCTAGGTTTTGATTTAGAATAGGAACTGCAGTGTCCTGGGACTGGGAAAGCGCTAATAGAGCTTTTTTCTCTGTTCTGGAAGAAACCCCTGGTAAAATCTTGGCTTCACTACATACATCAAGAGTATTAGACAAAAATTAAAACAGCTTCAGCCCTAGCCCTCACTGTAAAATAAAAATGAGCTGGTTTTTGTCCAGTGCAGAACTGTCTACACACAGCCATGACGATGTTCTACTTGAAACCGGTGTGTCTGGGATGACCAGTGACACTGTGTGCCATCCTGTGATCTGTAACTCCCAACTAATCTCCTTATTTGACTGTATCTCAGGAATCTGGTACCCTAGGACCTGGAAGCCAGAGCCTTGCTGCAATGGGCTGCCAGCCCTAGATGCTGGAGACACAAAACACTTGCCACCTTCCCCTTGGAGAAGGAAGGGAAAAAAAAAAAGTCCATTCTATGAAAAGCAAAAAAATAAAAATAAAAAAAGGCTCGGAAATCCACATAAACCGAAATGCTACGGAGCAAGTGAGAGCGTGAACAGTAAGAACAGAAACGACATGGCTACGCACTTAGCTGGAGCCATTGCTGATGCCCTTTGTGGCCAGTCCTGGAGCATCTGGAGACTGGGCGAAGGAAGGGCTGAGAGGCTTTCTACTCTGTCCCTCTATGCACAGTGCTATCATGACCACTCAGGCCAGGAGTGGAGCCCGGGACCTCTATGCAGTCTTCCTCTTCCTTGGGCCCTTTCTCTGCAGAGGACTTCGGAGCTCCTGGAGTTTTGCCCCACGGGGCAGGACTTCGGGGCCTGAGTGCCTGTTAAAGTGAGGTTTCGTTGGTGTGTGGCCTGGAATTCTCTTCCTCCAGCAGAGCTATTCTTTGCTTGAGCATTCTCACTTGGGTCTCGTGTCGCTCCACCATAGCCATCATCTGAGATTCCAACTTCTTCAGCTTGTTTTGATGCTTCTTCTTTGCTTTCTCATAGGCAGCCACCAGGTTACTGTGTGGAAACAGAGGGAAGTGAGTAGATTCATACTAAGGAATGACTGACACCCTCTCCCGTGTGGCACTGGGGAGCACAGCGGCCTCTTCTGTAGGGATCCAAAGCCCAGAAATTAGAAACTGCACAGTACTGGGATAATGGAGGCTCAGGTTGTATGCTGTGTTAGCCAACCAGCAGGCCAAACTGGCCACGTCCAAAACAGGTAAGAACGAGGGTGCTGAGTTCTAGAAAATCAAATAAAGACACTAGGTACTTGTTTCATGGTTGCTAGCTGCAGATGGTCAAGTACAGTGACAGAAAGTGTTCTCTCACCCAGGAGAAGGGCAGCAACTTTGCAGTGCATTGGACTGTACGGAAATGATACTGGCCCTGGACCGCGGCCCACTGTAGCAAAACTGAAAACAAGCCCAGGTGTCTCTACATAGTCTCTCTGCGCCAAAGTAGAACAGAAGCTCCCTTCAGATACACTGTGTTACCCTAGCTGGAGCCCCTAAAGTGTGACTTGAGGACACATGCACCCTTTCGAGATCCTAAAACTCTTGATGGCAAAGCAGACGGAAATCCAGGTGACCTATTAAGGTGTAGGCATTTTTACAAAATTCAAATGTCCCATTCTAATTACAATTTGGAAAGCAGTTTTCATAATAGTACGGTGTCTACTAAGCTTGAATTTTGCAAGTGATACTTTTAAAAGTCTGCCTCAGTTTTAGTTCCTGATATAAGTATCAATAGATATCTTATAGGCACAAAGGTTCTGGAGTCCCCATTTTTTAAAATATAAAGATCATTAACCCAAAGGTTTGAAACTCTTAACTTAGAATCTAGAGAACCTTAAACTGTCCCACTAGATGAGGTATTGTTCTAATGAATGGTTTGAGGCTCAAACGCAGATTTTTATTATTTTTTTTGCCTGAATTCTCAGTATCTTTATTATAGAAAACATCAAGAAGAAACCACAACAGACTTCATTTTCCTAAGCCCATCTCATCGGAAATGGTGTACACCTTTACTTCCCTGGTTTCTGGTCATCTGTATTGCAGATCCTATACTTACTTCCCAGGAGACACAGGGAAAGATCTCTGGGCCCCACAGGAGTATGTTTGTTTTACCTGTTGGCCCGCTTCAGGTCATTAACAAACTCTGCTGACTGCTGGTGTCTGATCTCACTGCTTTTGGTGAGTCTCTCCAAGGCGCTGACCAGCTCTTGAACTCTGGCCTTCAGTTTCTTCTCCCTGTATCAGAGAGACAGCAGCAGCCATCAGTAGGCAGTGGTGATTGAGGGAAGGAGGCAGGGGGAGCTGGCCAAGGTAACAGAGTGTGGCCAGCTCAGAACTGCCCCTCTAGGACACTCAGACATCAGGAAACTAGGGCACTTATTTGAAGATGTATTTGAAGATGTGAAAATCGGCCACACCTCAAACTTGGGCTCTTGGCTGTTTTGAGAGGGACAGACCTATAGTAAGAGTTAGGGCATAGATCAGTTGCCAGGATCCCAACAATGCCATGCTGAAGTAACTGCAAATCTAGTGTGGAAGCCAAGAGATGCCATGTAAGTGTAAAATGGATACTGCAGTTTGAAACTTCAATAATAATAAAGTTAAATATTTCAATTTTTAAAACCCTGACAACAAGCCAAAATATTGCTATATTGAGTTAAATATATTAGTGCTATTCAGTTATATTTAAGGGAACAATGCTAGCAATTGAGCAAGTGGTATCTACACTCTATGCTGTTAAAATTAATTTCACATGTTTTGCATCTTTAATGGAATCTAGGAAATGTAAAATGATATATGCGACTTGTAGCTCAGATGGTAGAAAAAGAATTAGGGGGACATAAGGAAGGGACCCTCCCCCAGCTGCTTGAAGCCTCTTGTTGATGAATCAAGAACTCAGCTCAGCACTTCTCTCCCTTTCCAGCCACAGACAAGGAAAGAACATTTACCAACCCCTTGCGCAGACACATGCCTGTGTTTCACATTATCAGCCTGTAAGCCTAAAGTAGCTGGAGTCACCCTATCGCTTATTGTAGTGATAAATGGGAGTGGGGCGGATTTCTCTCAAATCCAACTTGAGAGAAACCAAAATGACAGGGATGGTTAATCTTGAGACAACTGTGACTCCTCTGCCCCACACCCTGAGCGTGTCTAGCATTCTGCTGCTTGTCCTTGATGAGCACACCCTAGATCTGGCTATGTCTTTCTGTCTAGGTGCAGGTAGAGTTAGTTCGGAGAAGCAACCTTCATTCCGAACTCCGCCACATGGCGGCCAGTCCTGAGATTTCTGGGCCTGGCCCCAGTTGAGGTCCCTCGGAAACTAAGAGGACTTCTGGCTCTTTTCCCACTCATAGGATGGCTTGGAAAATCTAAGAATCCACTTGCCCTGCTCAGTCATTTTGAACTCCCCACCTCTAACGTCCTGTTCCTTCCAGTTTCCAGCTTGATGTGCTTGGCTATCAGAACGGGAAGAATTTACGGGGTTTCTGTATGTAGAACAGAATGCCAATGCAAGCATTTTCTTTGGCTTCACACATGAGAAAATTAAATACAAATTGCTACCTCAGTACGGATGCGTTCACAGTGTTCCAGGGATTACCCAGAATTGCACAATCTCTTGGGGTTTTTGTTTTCTTTTGCTGTGAATACCATCAGGTGAAAACAGAATAACTTTATATGACCAACAGTCCAGTTCAGGTTTATGAGTCTTCCCGCTCCAGTATCAGCCCCTCATCAGAAAATGGAGTATCTATGGTCATAAAAGGTAGTGTCTTACCACAAAGGAGGTAGGAGGTGGTTCAGTGCGCGCTGTCACAGTTCCAAGCAGAGGAGTTCCCACAGAGCATTTATGAGGTGGGGTTATCAGTACTAAGGAAAGCCACGTCAGCTGCTTGTAAGGTAGGGGAGGGGCTGGTAAGCAGGCCCCTGAGGTAAGACTAGCCCGGGGACTGGCAGCCAGAAATGCAGCTGTACACAAGCGGGAGAACTGAGTGTCCTCTAAGGCCAGGAGAAGTGATTTGTGACTCAAGCTAAGTCAGGTGAGCATATATCCAGTCCCGTGTGGCTTGACAGAAGGCCATGGAGCCATTCACAAGAACTGAATCCAGATCAAAGAGTAAGGAGTCATGGCCATGCACCTACAGACCGGGTTCCTGAACTGTCTACTCAGGTCACGACTGTCTTCCTCGCCTGCCAAGTACTCAGTTCCAGTCAGCACTCCATGCCCTGACTGTGTCTTACTGTATCGTGACCCTCTGGGCTGTTTGTCAGTGCAGGGCCCAGAGTCCATCTGCGTCTTCGTTTCACTGTTTCCCTCTCAACTCCACTTCTGAACATTGGGAATCGCTCAGGACTTTGGTCGGACTAGATTTTGTCTCTAACCCTTTCTTATTGTCCACTGCCATTTATTTTCCTTCAAACTATATGACCAAATCTTGACCTCCGGGCCTTTCCTCGGATCTCTAGGATCTCTAGGCTTCGGCATCATTAGCTTAATTTCCAGAGGAGAACTTTTGACATTCAACACTAAGTCAGGCTTCTCGTGTTGACAAATGGCAACACCATTATTTACCATGTGTACCGTCATAACCAGACCCTATATTCCATCACCACCTACCTACATTCATCACCAGATGTATCCCAACCAAGTCTTAAACTTCATGCCCCCTTCTCCCACCGCCACCACCAGGTCCAAACTGCCATTTTGTCTACTTAGACAAGCATAGCAGCCACTAATCAATCACCTTCTCTGCTTCTGCACGGACCCCTCACTGATCTGGCTTTCACACAGCAGCCAAGTCTCTTCTTCAGTGTGGAAAACCAGGTCAGAATACTTCCCTCTGGTGCCTTCTCCTGAAACTTGGAAGGATGAATGTGGACTTTACTCTGCCCTGGGATGGTCTCCCAATCCTCTGCTCGTTCTTCAGTTTAAATATCACTCTCAGGCCACCGTCAACAGTGGACAAGTGGTCCAGAGACAGGACGTGACAGCACTTTGCCTCTTCCTTCATGTTAGTCACTGCCAGCTAGATGTACCATGGTTGCTTAGATCCCTTTGATCTCTTTCTCCTTCATGTCCACCACCTTATTCTCTTAACTGCTTGCATTTAGACTATCCAGGCAGCAGATAACATCTATCCTTAAGTCCTTTTCCACGATAAAATCACTTCTCACAGCAGCCTTTGACATCTTGTGCTCACTAGACAAATAAGTGACCTGAGGCCCAGTCCGGGTGCTGCAGCGCTGGCTGGCGTCCACACCCTGGGATCTACCAGCAGAGCCCGGGTGCCTAAGCACCTTGCTAAAGAAGCTTGTGACTCATATAGGAGATAAGTAGAATGTACAATAAACAGGACTCTGCTTAAGAGCACGGGCGTGTGGGGTCAGGATTATGTGTCCCCAGATAACGAGGTTCTCCAGTTCTGTCCGAGCTGGGCTGGAGTTACCAGGAGGTACAGCAGGAGGAGAAAAGCAGCTAGTCTTTTTTTTTTTGCCCAGATTCTCTGAAGAACATGTTTTTAGTGTTCAAGAGATGAACTTGGCACAATCACGAGCACAATACTACCTTGTCCATGATTGTCATGTACCAGGGTGTTCCTCACCACTCTGCCTTTCTGCTGTTCCCGGTGAGGCTGCCAACTCTGGGCTTTTGAAACACTAGACAATGACAAAGGACATCTCAATGACTCAAGGAAGACCCACATCAAACCCCGGGGCGGGTGTCAGTCTTTACCTCCCCTGGCTCTGGGTCTCAGCAATTTTATTTCCGTGCTAATGAATCCACAGGCCCACTCTGTGTTTCATTAGCATCCTGCAGACCCATGTTGCATTTATGGAATATTTTGGCGCCACTCCTAGCGCTTGATTGCTACTATAAATCAGCTGAGTGTGAGGAACCAGCTAGCGTAAATTTTTTAAAAGGCATCTTTTGAAGTCATGCTCCCACTAACAAGTGCAAATCTTGCTGCTCTTGGCTCAGGGGTGCTGCTGCTGAGAAGCCTTCCGCCCAGATTGCCCACGTTTTTCCTCACCCATTCTCCCACGTTTTTCCTCACCCATTCTCTTAGGTTAGAAGAGTATTCATGCATAGCTACTGAAACAAATAGCATCTTTTTCTCCCTCTTGGTGAAGATTCCACAAGTATCTTCATGATGTTGCAACTGAGACTCTGAATTTTGAGCATCTTACTAACAGCCAAGTGCTCCAA